GAGAGAGAGAGAGAGAGAGAGAGAGAGAGAGAGAGAGAGAGAGAGAGAGAGAGAGAGAGAGAGAGAGAGAGAGAGAGAGGAGGAGGAGGAGGAGGAGGAGGAGGAGGAGGGTGAATGTGATCAGATGAGCTGGCGCTGTCACAAGACGACAGATAAGAGCCGACGCCACCACTGCCCCTATCTCCCCATCAGACCAGCCAATGTCACGAGAGGTGTGAGACACCGACTTTAGACCTGCTTTAGACCTGCTTTAGACCTGCTTTAGACCTGGTCTGTTGTAGTCCTGGTTCAGTCCTGGTTTAGACCTGGTTCAGACCTGGTTTAGTCTTTGTTTACTCCCGGTCTAGTCCTGGTTTAGCAGTGATTTAACACATGTTTACACCTCATTTAGGTCTGTTTTAAGTTTGGTTTAGTCCTGATTTAGCCCTGGTTTGGACTTGGTTTAGACCCAGTTTTGTCCTGGATTTAGTCCTACTTTAGACTGGGTTTAGACCATGTTTGTCCTGGTTTAGTCCTGGTTACATTTACTGCCCTATCTCACCATCAGCTCATGTCACGCTACAAGTGTTAAGAGTCAGAGTTTAGTCCTGGTTTAGTCCTGGTTTAGTCCTGGTTTAGTCTTGGTTTAGTCCTGGTTTAGTCTTGGTTTAGTCTTGGTTTAGTCCTGGTTTAGTCTTGGTTTAGTCTTGGTTTAGTCTTGGTTTAGTCTTGGTTTAGTCCTGGTTTGGTCCTGGTTTAGACTTGGTTTAACTCTGGTTTAACTCTGGTTTCAGTCCAATTCTAGCCTTGGTTTACTCCTGGTTTAGACCTGATTTCAGTCCAGTTCCAGTCCTGGTTTCAGTCCTGGTTCAGTCCTGGTTTAGTCCTGGTTCAGTCCTGGTTTAGTCCTGGTTCAGACCTGGTTTAGTCTTTGTTTAGTCCCAGTCTAGTCCTGGTTTAGCAGTGATTTAACACATGTTTACACCTCATTTAGGTCTGTTCTAAGTTTGGTTTAGTCCTGATTTAGCCCTGGTTTGGACTTGGTTTAGACCCAGTTTTGTCCTGGATTTAGTCCTACTTTAGACTGGGTTTAGACCATGTTTGTCCTGGTTTAGTCCTGGTTACATTTACTGCCCTATCTCATCATCAGCTCATGTCACGCTACAAGTGTTAAGAGTCAGAGTTTAGTTTAGTCCCTGGTTTAGTCTTGGTTTAGTCCTGGTTTAGTCTTGGTTTAGTCTTGGTTTAGTCCTGGTTTAGTCTTGGTTTAGTCCTGGTTTAGTCTTGGTTTAGTCTTGGTTTAGTCCTGGTTTGGTCCTGGTTTAGACTTGGTTTAGACTTGGTTTAACTCTGGTTTAACTCTGGTTTCAGTCCAATTCTAGCCTTGGTTTACTCCTGGTTTAGACCTGATTTCAGTCCAGTCCTGGTTCAGTCCTGGTTTAGTCCTGGTTCAGACCTGGTTTAGTCTTTGTTTACTCCCAGTCTAGTCCTGGTTTAGACTTGGTTTCAGTCCAGTTCTAGTCTTGGTTTAGTCCTGGTTTAGTCTTTTAGTCCTGGTTTAGTCTTGGTTTAGTCCTGGTTTAGTCTTGGTTTAGTCCTGGTTTAGTCCTAGTTTAGACCCAGTTTAACTGTGGTTTCAGTTTAGTTCTAATCTTGGTTTACTCCTGGTTAAGACCTGGTTTCAGTCCTAGTTCAGTCCTGGTTTAGACCTGGTTCAGACCTGGTTTAGTCTTTGTTTACTCCCAGTCTAGTCCTGGTTTAGACTTGGTTTCAGTCCAGTTCTAGTCTTGGTTTAGTCCTAGTTTAGACCCAGTTTAACTGTGGTTTCAGTTCAGTTCTAGTCTTGTTTTACTCCTGGTTTAGACCTGATTTCAGTCCAGTTCTAGTCCTGGTTCAGTCCTGGTTCAGTCCTGGTTCAGTCCTGGTTCAGTCCTGGTTCAGTCTTGGTTCAGTCCTGGTTCAGTCCTGGTTCAGTCCTGAGTCTCTGAGTCTCTGGATCAGACTGAGACGGAGCAGATTAGACGAGACACGACCTCCTCAGAGACACAGAGACTCTGCAGGTTTTATTTACACAGAATTACAACGCACACAGACTAAAATCACACTCAAATATATTAGAAATCAATCATTATTTGAAATTATATCCCAGAAATTGTCTCAAAAAAGAAAGAGTTAAATGAGAGCATCATGTATGAGCAAAAAAAAAACAAAAAAAACAGGTCTATGTGCAGTTTGAAAAGCACAGGGCATAAGTATATTGAATGTTTTAAGTATTTATTATCTATTATTTACTGATAAAGTCAAAGTACTACAGACAAAAATAACAGAAAAAGAAACAGAAACCGAAAAACTTCCAAAGAAATGAACCACCAACAATATTTTCTTTGTGAGCAATATTTGTTATAAGACATAAACTGAAAAATGAAAAATGCACAGTCCCGGTTTCATAAATAAACTAAATAAATAAAATAAAGAATAATATTTCTGTGTGCTCTGCAAATGCTCGAAATAAACAATCAATCAAAACATCAGTATTGAGCTTCTTGGAAATTTTTTTGTGAAACTAGATACATCCCTTGGTCTTCTTTTAACTAATTTTAGCTTGATTTTATTCCTTATTTATGTTTATTTTATTTATTTTTATTTATTTATTATAATTTGTTGGACTGTTTGCACCATTGTCTGTTTTTGTTTACTATTTAAAATTTTTTTGCATTGTTCTTTGCTGCTTGCACTTTGTAAATCTTGTTTTTAAAAGTAAACATTTATTATTATTTATTATTATTTGCAGCTTTGTGTTCAAGCGCTATGTGACATCACACATGACTGCCCTGATTACAGAAACTACACGGTGTTTTGACAGCATTGTGTTCGTAGTTCCAGGCATTTTAGTGTAAATTAGGTAAATTAGTATTAGTAAAAAAAAACTGAGCTCTCTGCAATTTCAAGTACTACATGACATCACGCAGGACTGCCCGGATTATACCCAGGTGTTTCGGTCTGCGGGGGCGGAGTTTGAAGTGTGGAGACTTGTTCGGCCAATCACACTGTTCCTTATTCCTCCAGACCCCGCCCCTCCTCCCCCCTCACTCTCCCCTTCATGCTAAAAATAAATAAATAATAAAACAGACTCCGTAAAACTCACAAGGGCGACATCCGAATCTCAAAAAACTCAACCAACTCAAACTCAAAGTTTTTAGACGACACTTCCTCTGCACAAACACAAATCCACATATAAAAATGAAGGAAAAATCAATTCTTCCCGTTTATTTACATTTTTGCCGTGACTGACTCACCTGCGCCGAACTAACCCGAGTTTGTGTTTCGGAACCCAGATCCGATCGGCCGTCGTTCCATTGCACTTTCTCGAGGTGGAGTTCGGTTTAAAGCGGAATTAGGCTACGTTCAGACTGCAGGGCTTAACGCTCAATTCCAATTTTTTTGTGAAATCCGATGTTTTTTCGAGGTCGTTCACATTTCCAGTTAAATGTGACTTGTATGTGACTCCAGTGTGAACATTAAACGGCCCGAAAGTGTCCCACATGTGACACTGGAGACACGACGACGTCAACCGCAGCGAGCGTCTCTGTGTTTACAGAAGTTGTCCAAACATGGACGCAGCATCGAGCACCTGGAGATTTTAAAGTTCCTCTCGTACCGGAGCCAGAACATGAACAACTTACTTGTTTTAAGGAGGAGATTGAGAAGGAGAAGGACGAGGTTTTTGGTCGTGGTGTTTTGTTGGCAGCGGCAGCGACGTCCGTTGAAAGGAACGTGTGGATGTGGAGACGGAGCCAAGAGTGGTGAGTGGTGATGTGCTTCACTTCAAGGTTGTATAGAGGATTTTTTTTAAGGAAAGACAAATCCAGCGACAGTCCTTTTTTCAAATGTAGTGCATGTGTGACTCCACCTTCCTCCTCCACAGGTCCCTCTAGAAATAATTTAGAGACCGACACCTCAGTTTTTAGACCCTTCGTCTGCTTCAGTCGCTGGAAGGAATCTCCAAGAATCACCTCAGTTTGTCTTCGCTCCTTTTCTCCTTTCTCCTTCTTTCAGCGACGTCAAAAACCGACTTTCTTTTGCGGCGAACTGGTCGTGGATTCTCGTCCGCCATCGCAACAAACTTTATGCGAACTGCGAGAGAGCCACAATTAGAAAAAGCCTCTAAGACCCGCTGCATGGTTACCTTAGAAACGTAGGGAGTTTGATTGACAACCTGACAGCCAATAGAAAATGAGGCAGCCTCGTTTTCTATTGGCTGATGTTTATCTGGCCTCAACACGTCCACAGTTGATAGATTTTCTTTCTTTTTTTTTTTTGGTCATCATAATTACAAGGCTGCTGCGTCTCTGTCATGGTGTTTTAAACTTTCATTGACAATTTGAAACCAAAAAAAATCCTCCATACAACCTTTCAGTCACACGGAGTTCATTAACAATTTTCGCCGACTTCAGTGCAGAATAGTGACGTTTGTGTCTTGTTGATAACGTGTAGGTGGATGAATGCGTTTTGGCCGTTCAGACTGAAGTCACATGTCAAAAGATCAGATATGTATCAGTTTCAGGAGCACATATCCAAGTGTCCTGGGTCACATTTGAAAAAATCGGATCTGTGTCGTCATTAAAACATCGGATACAGGTCACGTAGAAGCCAAAAAATGATTTGGGTCACTTCAGGCTGCAGTCTGAACGCAGCCTTAGTCGTCCGGGTTTTATTTGAAACGTGGATGTGGGCGGAGTTTAGGCGTTTATATTAGTCCCGCTTTAAGCACGAGGGTGAGATTTGAACGATGACGCAAAATGGTAAAAAAGCACAAAGCGTGAATCCTCCATTTCAACCAAAACACAAACCAAAACACTGCTGACAAAACACATCACCGACTTCTACAAAAACATGACCACGAAAACCCATGAGATGTGCGTTTGATCGACAGCAGTGACAGATCTGACGGGGGGAGGGTGGGTGGATGCAGGTGCAGCACAAACAGCACAGGAGGGTATAGATTGAACCGGATGCCCTACCTGCTCCGGCGTCCATGAGGTTGGACTGTCCGCGGCGGTCGGAGACGAGGCGTGATGATCCGGGCATGCTGACGGGCTCCGAGCGGATGGGCTGGATCCTGGAATTTAAACAGGAAAATCAAATAAATTCAAGGAAATTATTGGGTCTTTTCTACATGTGTCAAGGCTGAGATTAGTCCTGGTTTAGATCTGGTTTAGACCCGTTTTTGACCTACTTTAGATCTGGTTTATAAATGATTCAGACCTGGTTTAGTCCTGATTTGGCCATAATTTAGACATAGTTTAGACCTGGTTTAGACTTGGTGTAGACCTGCTTTAGACCTGCTTAAGATCTGGTTTAGACCTGACCCAGACCTGATTCAGACTTGGTTTTAGACCTAGTTTGGACGTAGTTTAGACCTGGTTTAGACCTGTCTTAGACCTGGCTTAGACCTGATTCAGACCTGATTCAGACTTGGTTTTAGACCTAGTTTGGACCTAGTTTAGACCTGGTTTAGACATGGTTTAAACCGCATTTAGACCTCATTTAAACCTGACTAAGACTTGGTTTAGACCAGGTTTAGACCTGGTTTAGAACTGGTTTAGACCTGACTCAGACCCACTTTAGACCTGGTTTAGACCTAGTTTAGACCTGGTTTTAGACCTGGTTTAGACCTGGTTTTAGACCTGGTTTTAGACCTGGTTTTAGACCTGGTTTTAGACCTGGTTTTAGACCTGGTTTGGATCTAGTTTAGACCGGGTTCATACCTGGTTTAGACATGGTTTAGACCTGGTTTAGGCCTGACTCAGACCCAGTTTAGACCTGGTTTAGACCTCATTTAGACCTGACATAGACCTAGTTTAGACCTGGTTTAGACCTGGTTTAGACCTCATTTAGACCTGACATAGACCTAGTTTAGACCGGGTTTAGACCTGGTTTAGGCCTGACTCAGACCTAGTTTAAACATGATTTAGACCTGGTTTAGACCTGATTTAGACCTGGTTTAAATGTGTTTTGTAATAATATAAGAAGTGATTATGTTTTTGTTGAACTTCCCGGAGAAATGAGTAATAATGAACCATAACGTTTCAAACTCGGGTCCGAACCTGAGACTCTGCAGGTCCATGTCGTCGGTGTCGAAGTCCAGAAGAGGCTGCTGGACCTCAGACGGGCCCTGGGTCTGCAGCACCGACGAAGACGAGATGACGGAGGAGGAGGAGGAGATGACGGTGGTCTGACCTGAAGGGTGCAGGGTCTTAAACTGGAACTGAGGCCCCATCCACAGACGCCGGTGAGGTCCAGTGTGGGTCACGATCTCCACCTGAGACAGAGCAGAGGGTGGGGGTGAGGTACACTGTTGTCTATAGACGGAAATGAGTCCCGTCCTTCAGGGTCTCTGGGTTAAACCTGTCAGGAGCAGTGGGACCAGCTCCAGATCTTGAGTTAGACTTTGTCAGACTAAACCTGGACTAAACCAGGACTAAACCAGGACTAAAACACCATTGAACCAGAACTGAACCAGGACTGAAGCACGACTAAACCTGGACTAAACCGGGACCAAACCAGGACTAAACCAGGACTAAACCAGGACTAAATCAGGACTAAATCAGGACTAAAACCAGGACTAAAACCAGGACTAAAACACGACTGAACCAGGATTAAACCAGGACTAAAACCAGGACTAAAACACGACTGAACCAGGACTAAAACCAGGACTAAAACACGACTAAAACCAGGACTAAAACACGACTGAACCAGGACTAAACCAGGACTAAAACCAGGACTAAAACAAGACTGAACCAGGACTAAACCAGGACTAAAACCAGGACTAAAACCAGGACTAAAACACGACTGAAACACGACTGAACCAGGACTAAACCAGGACTAAAACCAGGACTAAAACACGACTGAACCAGGACTAAACCAGGACTAAAACCAGGACTAAAACACGACTGAACCAGGACTAAACCAGGACTAAAACCAGGACTAAAACCAGGACTAAAACATGACTGAACCAGGATTAAACCAGGACTAAAACACGACTGAACCAGGACTAAATCAGGACCTGACAGATCTGCTTTAGACCTGCTTTAGACCTGCTTTAGACCTGACTCAGATCTGTTTTAGACCTGACTGAGACCCGGTTTGGATCCAGGTTAGACCTGGTTTAGTCCTGATACTCATTAACCTCGCTTTTCCTCCACTGATTAGACTCCGAGCCCGACGTGTAGGTGGGATGAATGCGACCTGACCGTTTTTAGGAGCACAGATCCAAGTGTCCTGGGTCGCATTTGAAAAAAAATTTGATCTGTATCGTTCAAATTGTCACTAAAAGATCAGATACAGGTCACACTTATCTGAACGAGGCCTAATTTAATATTTCAATACATTATTTTTGGGCAAATATAACATTTTCAAACCAAACAAAAGGTAAGATGTTGGTCTAAATATGTTACGTGATACAGTTAATACCCGTAGAAGTGTAATATTTCTCTGAACAGATTAATCCCGGTTTATAGATGCTTCGTCTTGGTTTAGATGTTTAGTTTATGGTTCTCCTCAAACTTTAATGCTCTGCGCTGACGCGTGGTCCCTGTAGTCTTCACACACGGCACATAACCCGTCCTGACACCGAGAGCGAGCGGAGTGAGTGCCGAGGATCCACCGAGATTACGAAGAGTTTCATAGGTTCAACTCTAACGTCCATGTATATTTAAAGTGCTGCGTTAGATTAACCCGTTTAGAGCCACGGCGTGATGTCGAGTCTGTGTTTATGAACCACCAAAACACAATCACAATATATATATATATATTTAACAAAAAAAAACTGGTTTAGACCTGATTTAGACCTGGTTCAGACCTGGTTTAGACCTGGTTTAGACCTGGTTTAGACCTTTAGACCTGGTTAGACCTTTTAGACCTGGTTTAGACCTGGTTTAGACCTGGTTTAGACCTGGTTTAGACCTGGTTTAGACCTGGTTTAGACCTGGTTTAGACCTGGTTTAGACCTGTTTAGACCTGGTTTAGACCTGGTTAGACCTGGTTTAGACCTTTAGACCTGTTTAGACCTGGTTTAGGTTTAGACCTGTTTAGACCTGGTTTAGACCTGTTGACCTGGTTTAGACCTGTTTAGACCTGGTTTAGACCTGGTTTAGACCTGGTTTAGACCTGGTTTAGACCTTTTTAGACCTGGTTTGGTTTAGACCTGGTTTAGACCTGGTTTAGACCTGGTTTAGACCAGCTTTAGACTTGATTTAGACCTGGTTTAGACCTGAGAAACCTGGTTTAGACCTGGTTTTAGACCTGGTTTAGACCTGGTTCAGACCTGGTTAGACCTGGTTTAGACCTGGTTAGACCTGGTTTAGACCTGGTTTAGACCTTTTAGACCTGTTTAGACCCTTTTAGACCTGGTTTAGACTTTAGACCTGGTTTAGACCTGGTTAGACCTTTAGACCTGGTTTAGACCTTGTTTAGACCTGGTTTAGACCTTTTAGACCTGTTTAGACCTGGTTTAGACCTGGTTTAGACCCATTTTAGACCTGGTTTAGACCTGGTTTAGACCCATTTTAGACCTGGTTTAGACCTGGTTTAGACCCATTTTAGACCTGATTCAGACCTGGTTTAGACCTGTTTTAGACCAGTTTTAGACCTGGTTCACATTACATGGTGTAATGTTGTGTCTGTATTTATGAAGGCCAACCAAACACAATCACAAAATATGAAAAATCAAGACTGTAACACCAGAAAACATCAGCACGTTTTTGCGTAGGTTTGAAACATGAGCAGTTCACAACGAAATTAACAAACAAGATAACAAACACGTAATAAACATTTCTTAAAATTAACGTGACGCTGGACAAATTTGCACAAAAAAAAAACAACAAAAAAACCAGTTTGAACTTTATTTTACCAAGAGCCAATGAATGAACAGCCCCAGTTTTGAGCAGTGTGCCCAATGTCCCAGCAGATTTATACAAAACCACTGATTTGTCCCAAGTTTTGTACAAGAACTGTTCCAGGTGTCTCTATTTTTGACAAATTTTTTACCTTCCAGCAGTAAAGAGAAGCATAAACTGCCATTTGTTTAAGTAAAATACAGAAAAGCTGCTTAAAAATCACCAAAACACAAAGAAAATGTGACTGTACTGACTCATATGTTCATCATGAATGGGCGAAGTACAATTTTCCTTAATTACACACTCGATTTTCAATTTTATTATTACCAACCACCACAAAACTGAAAATCTGGTCACCCTAAGTTCGCAGCAAAACGAGCACACTAGTCATTACTGTTGATTTTATGTGTGATTTTACAAACGGACCATCATGACGTACTGGACACAGCAATTTACTTAATTACAAACAGCGAGAGTAAAGAAAAAGCTGCTGGGAACAACCGCGTAATAAACATTTCTTAAAATTAATGTTATGATGGACAAATTTGCACCAAAAAAAACAGTCTGACAATATGAACTTTATTTCACCAAGAGCCACAAATCCTGGTTTAATGAGTGAAAGTCAAGTTTAGGGAGACCAGATTTTCAGAATTTAAGGTTTGGATGTTTGGTGTAAAATAAAATTGTAAGAAGAGCGTGTAACATTGTCACATTCTCGTGTCATTACCTGAGGGACAGTTTCCTGTATTTTGGCCAGACAAATGACAATTTATTCTCCTCTTGATCAGATTAGTCAAAAATTGTGATAGTCCTGGTTTAGACAATTTGTACACAAAGTAATTCAAAGTGCTTTACAGAATAAGAAACAAACATTAAAATTACAATAAATAAAATCAAAAAAGAGAGAGAGACATTAATTACACAAATTAGAGAGAAGAGTGACCTGATGTAGTCCTGGTTTAGTCTTAGTTTAGTCCTGGTTTGGGTCAAATATAGAGACTCTTGGGTCGTGTCTTGTATAAAACTGGGACAAATCACTGGTTTTGTATAAATCTGCTGGGACAGGGGACACAGGCTCAAAACTCGGACCAGGGTTCCCACGGTCATGGAATTTTGTAAATTCAATGAAAGTTTTGGAAAAGTCCTGGAATTTTAGTATCTCTTTCACGCAACTCCAGAATTCTGTTAAGTTCTCATTAGATCAGGAGTGTCAAACTCATTTTGTTCCGGGGGTCGTATCCAACCGACTTTGATCCCAAAGTGTCCGGATCAGAAAACTCATGTCATATAAACCCCAAAAATAACAAGAAGTTCAAATATTTGTGCAGAGAAACACAAATCTATTACAGAAATCTTTTTTAATTGATGAACTCTTTCTTTTACAAAATATTATAATATTATGAACAACCTGAAACTTAAAAAAAAAATAATTTTAACACAATGTTTTAACACGAACTTGTATGTAAACGAGAATAAGTAAATTTTTCTTGGAAAATCCTGCACTCGGCGTCAACTTTTCTCATTTTTTATATCTTACCAATATTTTAATAGAAAATATAATTAAATATTTTAGTAGAAAATCAGGCGAGGGCCAGATTAAAGGTCTTGGAGGGCCGGATCCGGCCCCTGGGCCGTATGTTTGACACCTCTGCATTAGACTATTCTGATTATTTCTGAACATCTGAGCCTTTTGTTTAAAAGAGACGACAATAAATGCACTGACAGGATTTTGAACGTTAAAAAACTATAATCCCAAACCATAAAGTGAGTGGAAAGATTTAACATTTCATATTTAGCCCTAAAAGTCTGATCAAATCTACACATGCAGGTGCTGTAAAGTCATGGAAAATTCACTTTAGGTCATTCACACATAAATAAAATTTGAAATAAATTATCCAAAGTGATCGCAATTATATACAAATATAGATATATCCTAGATAAAAACAGTCTTTTTATAATATACAACTCGCTGGTAATGCCCGACATAACCTACTGTTTTGAGATTTGGGGCAATACATATAAGACGAATACAAATCCAGTCTTTACCTGCAAAAAAAGGCAATAATATATAGAGTAATCACATTATCAGCTTTAAATGAATCAACCAATGTGTTATTTATAAACCTTCAAACTCTGAAATTTTATGATTTAGTCGACGTTTACACTCCGAAAATCATGTTCAAAGTAAAAAATAATTTCCTGTCAAAATCTTTACAGAACATGTTCAAAATCCGATAGAGCCGATATGAGATCAGAGGAACGGACACGTTTATCAAAAAGAAAATCAGAACAAACATTATGAAATTTTAGTAAATCTGTTAAAGGGCTGGAGCTCTGGAACAACTGTACAGAAAACCTAAAACTCTTTCACTTTACAAAGGAGTTTAAATGTTTAACTCTGGACAGACACATGAATTATGAGACT